CTTCAGAACCCTAGGGCGTAGTCCATCTGGTCAAGGTGATTTATCAACCTTCAGACTTCTCAGCTTCCCCGACACCACCTTCGTGATGTCCACTACGCTCACTTTTGCCCCCTGAGTCTTGAAGTTCTGGTTTGTAACTGGTGTATTCCACTGTGAAGACTAATGCAAAGTACCTTTCAGTTCCTTTGATTATTTTTTGTTCCCCATTACTACATTTCTAGCCTCAGTTTCCAATTGTCCAATGTCTCATCCTTGTCTCTCTCTTATATTTTATATATCTAAAGAAAACTCTTGCAATCTTCTTTTATATCACTAGTAGCCTACCCCCATAATTTATCCTTTCCCTGCATATTGCTTTGTTAGTTGTCCTCTGCTGCTATTCAAAGGATACCCAATCCTCTGGCTTCCCACTAATCTTCACCATATTGTATGCTTTCTCTTTTGCTTTGTCCTGTCTCAAACTTCCCTTGTCATCCATATTTCCCTCATCCCCCCCTTAGTATGTTTCTTCTTCCTTGGGATGAATTTCTGCTGTGCCTCCTGAATTATCCCAGAAACTCCTGCCATGCTGCTCCATTGTCTTCCCTTTCAAACAACTCTGGCCAGCTCCTCCCCATGTCTTTGTCATTACCTTTACTCAATTGTAATACCATTACATCTGATTCCAACTTCTTTCTGTCAAATTGCAGGGTGACTTCTATCATATTGTGGTTTCTGCCTCCTAGGGGTTCTTTCACCTTAAGCTCCCTAATCAAGTCTGTCTTATTACACATCACCAAATCCAGAATCGCCTGTTCCCCTAGTGGGCTCTACCTCAAGCTGCTCCAAAAATCCATCTTGTAGACATTCCACAGATTCCTTTTCTTGGGATCTGTTATAGCCTGATTTTGCCTGTCCACCTGTATATTGAAGTGTCCAATGATTATTGTAATAGTGTCTTCCTTACATACCTTTTCTATCTCCTGATTTATTTTCTGCCCCACATCATGATTTCTGCTAGGAGGCCTGTACATAGCTCCCATTAAGGTTTTTTTTCCTGTTGCAGTTATTCAACTCTTCCTACATAGATTCTAGGCCTTCTAACCCAATATTGCTTCTTGCTATCAATTTAATTTCATTCCTTACTAACAAGGCAACCTGCCCACTCTGCCCATCTGCCTGTCCTTTCGATAGGATGTGTATTTTGGATTTTTAATTCCCAGCTCTGATCCCCTTGCAACAATGTCTCCATGATGCCCACAATATAACACCTACCAATTTCAACCTGTGTTACAAGCTCATTTACCTTATTTCATATACTACATGCGTTTAAGTACAATATTCTCAGTCTTGCATTGACTTCCCCATTCTCATAGTTGTCATCTTCTCTGCTGTGCATGAGGTTAGATTCCTGACCCTTTCCAAATTCTCTGTCCTATTACTTGCTCTGGAAACTTTAATAATCTTTCCTGAGCTGCCCACTTTGAGATCACGATTTACCTCAATTTGTGCCATCAATTTGTCTACCTTATTCCAAATGCTTTGTGCATTAACATACAAAGCCTTTAAGTTCGTTCTATTATCAAGTTTCTCTATCCTTTTATGCCTCTTTAATACAATATGACATTCAAAGTTCTGTTCCTTTCTTATTTTCTCTGGTAGCAATCAACCCCATCACTGACCAGCAATCCTACCTTCTCCTTCACCTTTCATTTTATAATTTTCTATGGAACTGAATCCACTCTCCAACAATTTAGTTTAAAGCCCTATCCACAGCTCTGGTTATTCGATTAGCCAGGATTCTAGTCCCAGCATTATTCAGTGAAGCCCTTCTTTCTCCAGTACTGGTGCCAATGTCCCATGAATTCGAATCAGTTTCTCCCACACCAATCTTTGAGTCACATGTTTACCTCATTAATTTGTTGACCCTGTGCCAATTAAAGATTATTACCCTTTTAGTTCTACTTTCTAATTTAGTCCCTATCTGCTCAAATTCTCTCACTAGAACTTCTTTCCTCTTTCTATCTATGCAATTGATACCTACGTGGACCACCACAACTGGATCTTTCCCCTCCAACTCCAAGATCCTCTACATGAGATATCCTGAACCCAGGCACCAGGCAGACAACACAGCCTTCGGGACTCTCCATCCAGAGAATAGTGTCTGTTCTGCTAACTACACCATCCCCAATTGCTAATACATTTCTCTTTTCTTCCCCACTTGAATGACTCCCTGTACTTGGTGCTTTGGTCAGTTTGCTCAACCACCCTACAGCCCCCTGTTTCATCCACACAGGGAGCAAGAATCTCAAATCTATTAGAAGAGCTCAAGGGCTGAGAATTCTTTAGCACTACCTCTGGGATCCCTCTACCTGCCTCGCTGGTAGTCATACCCTCCTGACCAAATTTGAGGTAGTTAATCTAAGGGATGCAACTGCCTCCTGAAACACACATCCAGGTAACTCCCCCCCACTTCCCTGGTGTGTCGCAGTGTTCAAATCTGAGATTCCAGCTCATCAACTCTGAGCCAGAGCTCCTCAAGCATCCAACACTAGCTACAGATGTGGTCACTCTGAACTACGATGGGGTCCACCAGCTCCAACATCATGCAGGTACAACATATTGCCTGGCCTTGCATCTCTAATTTATTTGCTTAATTCTTAATTTTTTAAAACATCTCCTGCTGGCCATTCATTTTGTAAACCGTAAATCTTTCTCCTATTTATCTACTGGAAATAACCTATATTAGATGGTTAGATTAGCAACTATTACCAACCAGTGAACTTTTCATTTTCCTGTGATCTCACTGTTTGTTTCGTGCTGGATCCCTGATCCTGGACTTCAGTTTATTTTTTTTTAAATGTAAACGATGAGGCTAAAACACAAGCAGCAGCCAACACTTCTGCACTAAAATACCACACTGCCTCCAAAATCCCCAAACTATATACTCACTCGGGCTGTGTCTCACTCCAGGTGTGATCTTTCCTTCCTGACTGTGTGTAGCTTACTCAACCATGATCTTATTGATTGGCAGAGCAGATTTGATGGGTGATAATGGTCTACAGTATTGGTATTTGGCACAACTGATGTCAGGCTAACTGGCACATATTTCCCTGTTTTTCTCCTTCTCTTTTAAATAGAAATGTTGCATTTTTCATTCCCAATAGTATTCCCCTGTCTCTGATTCTAGGTGGCAATGCATGTACTTCAGCTATTCTGTTCCTTTTTATATACTTGTTAAAAAACTCATACAATATTTTGTTATAATCCTGGCTGGTTCACTCTCATTCTATTTCTTCCCTCTTTCAATCATTATTTTGGTGACCCTTTTGCAGGTTTCTCCCAATCCTCAGGTTCACAACTGCCCATGATTTACTGGAAAGATTATGCATAGAATATGATTAAAAGATTATAATCATAATTGTTATAGAAAAAAACATAATTTTGCTCATTGTGTCCATGTTGACCCTCCAAATTATCAATTCGCCCGATGCTATTTCCTTACCTACTCCCTGTAAAACTGCTCATTCTTCCTTTCTCGATAATAACCTAGTTCCCTCTTGAATGTGTCAATGAAAATGCCTGAACCACACTCTCAGGCAATGCATTCCAAATCTTAACCACTTGCTATTTAAACTAAAATTCTCCTCATTTCTCCATTGCTTCTTTTTCCAATTACCTTCAATCTGTGCACTCATTCTCAATTCTTACTTCAATGAAAACAGTTTTTCTCTATCTTCACTCTCCAAATTTCTCATAAATTTGAATATCATATTGAAGTTTCTTCTCAAAGTTCTCTTCTCCAAGGAAAGCAGTGCTAACTTCTCTAATCTATACACTTAATTGAAAATTGTCTGGAATCATTCTTGTTAATTTCTTTTAAACTCTAATGCCTTGTCTGAGCCAAGATTCATATGTGTTATCTATTACTGTCCTTACATCATTGTTTATTATCAGGGTTATTTTTCCTCCTTTTCCATTCAGTCTTTTTGAAGTGTTATCCCACATGGAATTTTTTTTCCCAACCTTGGTAACCTTGGAAACTTTGTTATTGGAGATGATATCAAATCCTTTTATTTTTATTTGTGCCACAGTTTATTTTTCTTGCTATAAATGTTTCATGCATTCCAAAAAAAGTACCTCCTTTTACATTACTATTCTTAGCATGTATGTTGTCTTTGTTTACTAGTAATGTTAACTCTCTGCTCTTTCCCGTCCCACTCTGCTTGTCTTTATCCAAATTGATATACTGTGCTATTGACAAATTCTTCCTTCACGTGAACCTTAGTCTCCCCTCCCTCTTCCTTTAGTTTAAAACCCTATCCTTAGCCTGAGTTACATGATTTGATGGGAAGCAGCCTCAATACAGTTTAAGTGGAGCCTATCCCACCAGAACAGCTCCCTCTTTCCGGTACTGGTGCCAGTGCCCCATTAATTCAAACCACATCTTCCCACACCATTCCTGGAGTCATTCAATTCATTTTTAAATTTACTTGACTCTATGCTAATTGATACATGGCTTTGAAAGTTCTGCATTTCAATTTGGATCCTAACTCCCAAAAGATCATTTTAGTTCACCAGTTGTTAGCTCTTACATGGATCACAACAACTGGATTCTCCCCCTTTTACTGTAAATTTCTCTTCAACTGTGAAGAGATATATTTTTTCTTTGAACTCGTACGGGCAAATCAATCTTCAGAAATCCCTGTTACAGCTGCAAAGAACAATATCTATTTCACACCTCCACTGCATTCTTTATCACTCTTTCTGATTGATTGGACCTCTCCTTTGGGTCAGACAAACTTTATAACTTGATTCAAAAGAAATATTTTTGCTAATGGGTAGATGAAAAGTAGTTTTAAAAAAACCTTGCTGTTCAATGTATTGGTGAACGAATTTCACAAGGCAAAAATTGCAACAAAATAATTCCACAAATTGCCATTTTGTTAATCTTATATATGTTAAAAACACTGGAATAATTTGATAGTTTGCTGCAGTAACAATATGTTTTGAGATTACAGCTCTTCAGAACTGCCAGGCGTAAGTCATAATAAATCCATTGAAAGCTTTGGAGTGACAAGAATTAAGAAAAAGATTTCCATAAGCAAGTGCATTCATGATAACATATCTTGCTGTGCAAGCAATATTCATGGAACAGAGTGTTCAAGTCTTTACACTCAAGGTAATATAACTCAACTGTAAATGTAAATAACATAATAAAAAGTGATTTAATATAATAGTTTCATAAAGGAATTCAATAATGTCATGGAACTGTAGTGAAGTGACTGCTTCGTGCTTCCCTGTGTTTATTTTCTTTTCAATTTTGTGTATTGTAAACACTGTCTCTCAAAAATCTCAGCTGACAGCCTGATTTCTGCCAGGAATGAGCCTGGAAGTTGGAATGAAATCCATGCAGTTATGCTGGAATTTCATCCCACATGCTCTGGCCTTTGACATTCATACAGAGGTGAGGGGAGGGGAACATAAGCAAATCTTTTGTCCTGACTTCCACATCAAGGGGCTTGTCTGGGTGAGTACCTGAGAGACCCTAAAAATTCCATCCTTTACACTATGAAATACCTCAGGAGAATTAGTGCCAACTAAAAACCACTTTGAAGCCTTTTGAAGGACACAAATTCTATTTGGGCTGAAGTAATCAATCTTGGCCAGGCTCAGTTAGATATTCCAGAGACACTGCCTCTTTTTGTGGTTGAAGACTCAAACCATTAATTGGCCTCATCAGGGAAAATCACAGACGGGTGACTGCAGATGTCTGACCCAATTTTAACCTAACAACAGGGTTTACAAGCCCACAGGAAAAATCCTGCCTATGGTTTTACTCCAAATGGCACACAGAGGAACTCTTCTTGCTCAAATTCACCGTGCTCAAAATGCAGGCAAGAAAACTAATAATTTAAAAAAAACTCTTTTCATTTTCTGTGTGTTTAGTAAGAGTAAAATCTTATACTCAGAAACATCTCGGAAACATGGCACAAAACAAAAGAAGCAGTCGGAATATTAGATGATACCTCTCATGGTAATACTGAAAAGATCATTAGATTCCGTCAAGCTATCCATTCAAAATGATTTTTTTTGTAGAAAAAAAATGATGTGCATACTTAATAGGCAAATATGCGCTAGAGTTACTTATCAGTGGGAACTGGACAAATGGTAATTTCCTGAGGTTTGGGAGTTACCATACTTTGAGGGAGTATGCTCAAAGTATGTCAGGCAGCCCAGGGTTAACTCTGCAACATTATGTTTTCTAATGCAAATTTGTTTTCTCGTGCGTCCAGCAGCAAACTGTACTGGATGTACCCAAATCAAATATTTCCCATTGGGCTTGCAGTTTATGCAAATATGCTAGTACTTTGTTTTGATCCATTATTTAAAAGCCAGGATATATTTTAGTAATTGGAGAGGTCAATATGTTCATATTTTTGATTTGGTCAGGCATTTGCATTGAAAATATGTATGCATTTCATTTTTTAAAAAATTAACAAATAAGATCAGTTAGGAAGGAAAACATTAGTCACAATAACAATGATTGTAACTAATCATGGAAATTGCAAATCACTGAACACAGAGCATAATACAGAAAGGATTTAAAAGAAGAGATAACACAATGTGGAGCTGGAGGAACACAGCAGGCCAGGCAGCATCAGAGGAGCAGGAAAGCTGACTTTTCGGGTCGGGACCCTTCGTCAGAAAGTATCGGCAGTTCTTACTATCTCTGAAGGATTTAAAAGTATTCGTCTACTGCTGTGTAAAACAGGATTGACTGACTGCGACCTCTCTAAATTCCAAGGGTTAATTCTCAGTGACTTTGGATTAGTTAATTTCAAATACAAGGATTTCTGCAAAGCCTTCATTTTACCCCTTGTTCATTTAAAAACAAACCAAATCACTACTGAATTAAAAGTACGTGAATGTAGGACAGATTGTTCATGATATAACGTAATGTTTGTAACAAATAAAGAGATCTTTATTCTCAAAATCAATGACTATTTTCTAATAACCTATCACATTTACATGACCTTCAATAATAATTTTGCTTCAAATAAATAGTGTGCTATTCAGCTGGTAATTACTTTAAAGTGAAAAAAAATCACCTGTTTTAAATAGACCAGAGTTCTTGTTCAACTTGTGTATATCCTTTCCTCATACCACCTACTCCTTTCCCACCACTTCCTTCTTAGAGACCACAATCACTTCCTTCTATTAAATAACTTCTTCTGTTCTGCCAATCCTGTCACCACTTCTGTTTGTTGAGGCAGACTCCACTTCCCTCTCTAAAGACACTGTTGCTTCCCTTCTTGAGATCACCCCAGTTGTTCTTTGTGAGAGTTCAAACATCTTCTTCCTCAGCAGCATAACTACTCTCTTCAGGGACAATAGTACCAATGACTACAATTTCATACTGATAAATCTGTAATTACCAGTTAAAAATGTAGTAACGACACAAAGACTGATCTTTTTAACACCCACAGATCCAGCACGAAAGATACTTGAAAGTTTATTGTTTTAATCCGAATATTTCTATTTGAAAATTAAGAATAATTCATTGCATTGGCAGAAGCTGAAATTAATTCATGCAAATCATCTTAGATATTGTTTAGTCTATTGCAATTAAACATGTCATTTTATAATATTTTCCCCTCTTTATTGTAGATCTTGATAGATCAGAAAGAGAAAGCTCAGGTTTGAATATTTTTCTGAAAGTTGGTGATCCATTTCTGCTGCGATGTATTGCTTCGTATGAAACGTACAAATTCAGAATAGGTTGGACTAAGAACACAAAAGCAGGAGATACCACAGAGGTATGACTCTGATTTGAGATTGTTTATTATCAAAGGGCATAAAGTATTTCTTAAAAAACTTCAGCATTGTTCTTGTTGTTCCATTAATGAAACAGGTCCTGGAAGTTGAAGAATCATTTCTATTAAGCAGGTACACAAGGATCATATTCCTGTTTATTACTTCAGTACATTTGGAAAATAGCGGATTATATACATGTACTTCTACAAAACATTCAAACAAAACAGTCAAATTAACAGTCATTGGTAAGTTTATGCTTTACAATTGAACATTCTATTCAATGGGTTATAGAATTAAATTTTCCAATACGCTTGATGCTAATATAAAATGAAATATGTAACTTTTTAATCTTCCTATTAGAAAGGTGCATCTAGTTTTGTGGTGACTACATTTTCAATTTTTGCCTTTTATTAGCACAGTACATTTGGTATTGTTCAAATTTTGAAATAAAGGCATCAAATCTAATTTGAAATTCCTTTGCATGCATTTAAACACTGTGAATTCAATTAATACATACGATTAAATTCCAATGTATGCTACACAACTGTTGATGGAAATTCAGTTCAATGTTTCAGGTGTACGTTACAAAAGCTTATAATTAAATTCATAGCCCCATTTCCATGGTTAAGCTCTTACAATTCATATGCCCTCATCCTTATTTAGCTTACATTTGAAGCCCTAACTTAAGTAGATTTTTCCTTTGCATTATTTTGCTTCTTGGCCTGAAGGCACTTAAATACTGAACTATATTTCTATTGGGCATCCTTTTGTCCATATTTGATGGCTATACATTTTGTATAGCTGAGATGGTTGGCTGAATTTTCATTCCAGGGCCTAAAATCCGCAGCTAGGAGGAAATGTAGCTTGGGAACATGCACATGCTGTTGCTAGGACTCAGAGGTGATATTCAAGAAGGAGGGCACTCCAGCACTGAAAGATATCTCTTCTCCAGAGGTAAGAGTTGCAGATAAAGATAGGAGAATGAGAATTTTCAAGCTGGCCAAAACATGGCCAAAGCTGTCAGCCTGCCATTGTGAAAATGGTGAATAGCATCTGTAGCTGCATCTATGGCCTCTGAGTCAGCTTTGCCCTCCAGTTTGCTGCCATGAGGCCATTTTAAAACATCAATTGGAGTAAAACAATGGAAATGACTGGCTACCTGCACTGCAAAGCAGTACCTACTGGATAGGAATCAAGAATTTTGACTAGTCAAATCCGCCTTTAAGTACCAAATTACATTTTTCTAAGATAGTAGGAACTGCAGATGCTGGAGAATCTGAGATAACAAGGTGTAGAGCTGGATGAACACAGCAGGCCAAGCAGCATCAGAGGACCAGGAAGGCTGACGTTTCGGGCCT